TCAAGGATCGAGTCCATGCCCTGGCCCTGCACAGACACCCCAACAATCCCACCCTGTCCCTCAGAGCGTTGTCCAAACCCTCCTGGAGCTCTGGCAGCCTTGGGGCTGTGCCCACTGCCCTGGGGAGCCTGGGCAGTGCCCAACCAGCCTCTGGGGGAAGAACCTTTGCCTGAGATCCAACCTGAGCCTGCCCTGACACAGCTCCAGCCATTCCCTGGGTGCTGTCCCTGGTCCCCCCAGAGCAGAGATGGAGCTGCCCCTCGGGAGGAGCTGCAGCCCCTGCTGAGTCTCCCCCCAGTCTCCTCCAGGCTGAAGTGCCAAGTGCCCTCAGCCCCTCTTGTATGGTCTCTCCAGACCCTTCACCATCTTTGTGACTCTCCTTTGGACTCTCTCCAACAGCTTTAGATCTTTCTTATCTTGTGTTGCCCAAACTGCCCCAGTACTGCAGGTGAGGCCACCCCAGGTCAGAGCAGAGGGACAATCCCCTCCCTCACCTGGCCATGCCTGATGCCCCCAGGACTTTGGGCTGCCAGGGCACTGCTGACTCCGTCCCACCTTCAATGTGCCCTCACTCAGGACCTCCAGGTCCCTTTGCCCCATCCCAGGCAGGGGCAGGGGGGTTTGGTGAGGACCCTGTGTTAACCAGACACTGTTCCAGCCCCAAGGGCATCACTCAGCACTGGTGGTGCAGGCAGAGAGGTGTCTGCTCCCTGACACCCTCCTTCAGCCTTCCCAGGGGCTGCTCCCACCGGCTCCCCTAAGGCAAAGGGGGTGCCAGGTTGGCATAGAAAGCCAAACCATCCCCACCTGAACCCAAAATGTCACCAGAGTGCTTTTATTTCTTGGGTTTGACCCTCAAAGCTTCTTTCTCCCCTCGCCATGGCTGTTCCCAGGCCCTGCCTATCTCTGCCCAGATTGCTCCCAGACCTGCTGTCCAAGAGCTTTATCAAGTGCCACAGGCTGAGGGGGTTTGGCAGCTGTCCCTGGAGCTGGGAGAGAAAGGAGACAAGGAGAAAGAGAGCCCAGGCCCTCCCCCCTGATCTGCTTCCCCGGCTGGGGCTGCTTTCCAAAGGGATCCGGTGGGAGGTGTGGAAAGGGACTGGCAGTTTTGGCTGGGGTGGCACTGGGAAGTGAGGCAGAGTGAGAGCTGGGACACTCCCACCCCCCTCCTGTCCCAGGCAGAGGAGCTGGTGGGACTGGGGGATTTTGGAAGGCAGCTGCCTTCACTTCTGCAAGGAAAAGCAGTGGCAGCCGTGCCAACCCGGGGCCAAAGGAAAAGGTGTCCCTGTGTTTCCTGAGAGAGCATCCCAGGAAGGGGGTGACCAGCTGGGAGATCAACCTCCTGCCCCAACAGCCCTGGTTTGCTGGTGGGAAGAACAGGGTTCTGAATATCTCCCCAAAACCTCAGAATGGCTTCAGTGCATCCTGCCATCTCCAAGGATATCCCTTGGCTTCTCCAGGAGACCTCCCGGCCCCAGAGCTGCAGTGAGGCCCCACAGAGCTGGATTATAGAGAGGGTCACTCCTGTCCCTGGGAGGGACAACTGCTCCTTCCTCCATCCCATTATCCAAACAAATTCCTTTCCAATTAGGAGATAGCTCACGCTTTGAAGCCTTTGTGTTGCCACCAGGTGAGGAAGGGGAGCAGATCCCTCACAGGGGGAGGCACTGGGGGCTGTGTTTCCCCAAGCTCTGCAGCAGGAGCAGGGAAAACCTCGGAGTGCCAGCTCCATGGTTTTACAGCAGGACCCTGCACAGCTTTCACTTGTCATGTGCATTTTTAAACGACAGGGAAAAGGTTTTATGAACCAGGGAAACGTGTGATTATTTTCCCCTCTCTCTCTCCCTTCCAGGTGCTTGGCTTAGCGTTGTAATACCCCAGGAATGAAATCCATCTGAGTTGCTGTTGTCCCGCTGCTTAAAACTCCATTTTCTGTCAATATTGCTTCATTTTGATCAAGCTGCTTACATGTTTTATATTATTCTCTATTTTTTTCCCCCTTCCATTTTGCTGCAGCCTTTCAGAACATTTTGTTTCTTGCACTTCCCTGTAAATACTTCTCAGTCAATAGCCTGGAAGTAAGAGAGTCAAAGGCACGAGGAAAGTCTGGGCTTTCATTGCTGTGGTGTTTCATGTCTAATGCACTTGTCAACGTGGAATATGAAAAAAAAAAAGGGAAAAAAGAAGAGGATTGTACCTGGTTTAACCCTGCTGAGGTTCAGAGGGAAGGGAGGGGTTTAGCAGCTGCTTTTCCCAGCTCCTAAAATTGCTTTTTGCCCCATGGGGCAGGTGTGCAACCCCAAATTCCGTGGGGAGACACGGATATGGTCCCGCTAGAGCCAAGCTCCGGGGGCAGGGGGATGCACAAGGACCCGGGGGGAGGTTCCCACCTGCAACCCCGGCCCGGCGCCGGGGGCGGATCCGCTCGGCACCGCCTGATGTTCCTCCCCAAAGGCCGTCTCACCCAGCGCCGCGATTTTCTCAGCTCTTTAATTGCAATGATTCATTTCCTTCCACAAAGCAGAGCAGATTTAAATGAGATATCCGAGAGGAGCATCTAATAATCAGTTTGCACTCGAGTTGGTCTCCTGGAATTGAGCAGGTGGAGGGAAGCTGCTCTTGCAGGACGATGCTCAGGCTGCAGCAAAGCCAAAATTATGTCAGAAACCTGATTTTTTTTCCCATGCCTGGTCCTCTAAATCAAATTTGACTACCAATGTAGTCGAAACCACAGAGGTAATCAGTTAATAAAACTTTGCACTTATATGCTACTTCCACTCAAGGATTTAAAGCCCTTTGCAAAGGTCAGTGTTGCAATGATGAGAATTTTCCAGCTGAAATGTTTTCACTGGGAAGGAGAAAGGGAGAGGGGGGGGAAGAAAAAAAAAAAAGAGAAAAATATTCTCGATTGCTGGAAGTTCCAAATTCTGCAGGTTTTAAGGCAGGTAAGGAATAATATTTTTTGTGAAAGGAAGAGAAGAAATTGCCATGCAAATGTTAATGGTGTTTTGAAGCTTCACAGGAAAGCCTGACTTGTGTAGCAGCCTTAATATACATTAGTACCCCTAGTCTGCAAGCAAACAACATTTTGCAGAATAAACTGAAACACAACAGGGAGAGCCTGGGAATTATTTAGAAATCTAATTCCCACTGAAATCAGGCAGGGAGCATTTTATTCCACGCGCATTTTAAATCAGCGCCGCTGCCAGGAAAAATACACCACCTGTAACGTGCCTGGCAGGGCAGGCAGGGAAACAACACCCGGGTCAGAGTCCTGCCAAAACCCCTCCGAGGGTTGGGGTGGAAGGATGTGCTGCTGGAAAATACACCCCAGCAGTGCCACCGGCCCTCAGCGAGGAAAAACGAGGGATGGGGCAGTTCCGAGGATTCAGCCCCACTTTGGCACCTTTTCCTTGCAGGTACACAGGCAGGCAGGGATGAGCAAACCTGCATCCCCTGGACAAAAATCAAATCAGCTTTATTTCCTTAGGGATGCCAGCTAAAAATAATAATAAAAGCTCTTTATTTCCAGGGTGACTCCACTCCTCCGCTGAGAGCAGAGCCTGCGTGCGGTGCTTGGGTTTCAATCAATAAAACTCAGCTCATCGCTGCTCCTAAGCCAGGTTTAACCCACCTGGCATCACTTTAGCTTGTTAGCACAAGTGTCTTTTGGAAAGTTATCCTTTTTTTTTTTAGCTGAACCAGGGCTGGTAGCCGTAGTTTAGTAGCCACGTGTAGCTGTGGCCCCACCGAGGCAAACAGGAGCCCCCAAAGCAGCAGGAAAAGCTGTGCAGTCTTTTTTTTAAGTTCACCTTTCAGTAATTAGAGTCCACAGCTGTAATTACTTTCTAATTTTGGTTTAATAATTGAGCTCAGCCATCCCCACATGCCCCTTAGACTCGGTGATGAGGGAGGCTTTGGCCTCCATGGCCACGAGAAGTGTGGTGGTAAGCAATGATTTCATTGCTTTATTTTGATTTTTGGACACCTCTGCTCTGCCCCCAAACTCTCACTGGGTAAAAAGGAAATTAAAGAAAGAAAGAAAACACCCACAAAGGACAAAAATGGTGATTGAAGGGGAGAAAAGGCCCTTTTACCCCCTGCCCTCTCAAGGGATGCCTCAGCCCTGCAAAATGGCAGCGGGAAGCATTTGCAGAGGGTCCCCCCACCAAACCTTTATTTTGGGTTTTTTTAGGGTTTGTGTGCGGTCTTTTTTCACTCCCAGCTCCAATGTGGGATTTTATGGAGGTGTGAGGAGCCACTGCCCCCCTCCTGGGGAAAACGAGGGTGTCTTCTAGAGCCCCCCATCTCCAGCTTCCTCTGGATTTGTGCGAAGGTGCAACTTATCCCCGGGGAGGCACGTTATTTTTTACTCCCCCCACCTTTTCCCGGGATTTTGGAGATATCCAGAGTATTTCAGGGTAAGGCTCTGGCTGCCAGCCTCCTCCCCGGGAAAGCACGGGGTGCCCCGGAGGCAGGCAGGGAGTGGTCCAGGGGTGCCGTGGTTGATGGGCAGCACCCCCTCCAAATTTAGAGATGGGGGGCGTTAAAGCCACGCAAGTGTTTGAGCTCCTGCTTTATGTGCCCCCCCCCCGGGGTGGGGGCAGCACCAGGAGGGGGGAAAGGGGAAGCGTCCCTTCCTTCCCTGCAACCGAGGCAGGAGCAGCTCCGACCCCCCCATCCCACCTTAACCCCCTTCACCCTCTCTGGCCGCGCACCAGCCTTTGGGGGGGCTGGGAAGGGGGGGGTCGTACAAATCTCCCCGCCCCGCGGGCTGAGCAATCGCCGTCCCCCGGCTGCGCGCAAGTTACTCCCCCTTCCCCGGCACTTTCCCTCCCTCCCCTTTCCCCCCCGCTCTCCAAAAGCCGGGCCCTGCGCCGCGAGGCTCCGCCAGTAAGGCAGCGCTGCCGGGGGAGGGAGGGAGGAGCTGGGGGGGGGCGATGAGCCCGGAGCCGGGCGGAGCGGAGCCGGCGGGCGGCGGCCTGAAGCCCCCGCCGGCAGCGGCAGCGGAGCCCCCCCGACCCCCGGCGCCGAGCCCACCCTGAGGAATGAGCGCTTTCCAGGCAGACCTCCTCCTCCTCCTCCTCGCCTGCTTCCTGCTCAGCCACGGTAGGAGCCGGCGCCGCGCCGGAGTTTCCGACAGGAGCCCGGGGGTCCCCCCGGGTCGGGGGGTCGCGGTGGGGTGCGGGGGCCGCGCGTGGTTTTTGGCGAGGGGAGGAGGTGGGGCAGACGGGGAAGGATTGCAGAGTTTTTCGTGCATCTCCGGGCGAGGCGGCTTTACCTTTTTTTTCTCAAAAAAAAAAAAAAAGGCAAAATCTTTAGCATGCAAATGCGCGCCGCTGCTTCGGCTCGGTAATGAGGGTGGGTGTTGGCGTGTAAACACGGCTGTGCTGAGCAACAGCCCCCAGACGCCCCCTCGCCCCCGGTGCTTCCCCGGCGCGGGGGGATGGATGCTCCGTGTCGGGGCAGCGGAGGAGCCGCTCGGACCGGCGGAAGCGGCTCCAGCCGCGGGCACGGGAGCCTGCGGTTGTGCAGCCGGGGTGGGGAGCGATTTGCTCCTGGGGAGGTGAGGGGAAGAAGAGTCGCTGCCAATGCAGCCAGCCCGGGGGAGGTGGGCACCCCGCGGGGGTGGCACGGCCGGGTCCCACCTCCCCGGCGCACGGGAGGGAGGCAGGAGCGTGGGAATGCGCAGGGATTCGCCCTGCAACTTTACTACCTGCTTGATTCCCCCCAGAAAATAACGCATAAAGGTGGATTTGGGGAGGGGGTGTGCTCGGGGAAGCCGGGTTTGACGCGCTGCCGTGTTCCCGCTCCCTGGGCTGGCTGTCACCTGTGGAGGACGCTGAGCTGCAGCCAGACCCCGGCTTCGCCCCTCTGCTGCTCATCCCTTCCCAGCGCCGGTGTCAAACACCATCTGTGTCACGGCGCCGTGGTCCCCACGCCGGCTTTTGTGAGGGTACGGCTTGGGGATGCTTTAAAAAAAAAAAAAAAAAAGAAAAAGAAAGAAAAAAGGGATAAAAAAATCCCAAACCCACGCAGCCAGTCCATCTGTTGATTCAATGAAGGATAAAACTTTTGGAGAGAGTAGTGCTTCTCCACGGGCAGCTGGTTTTTTGCTCAGCCAGACATTATTGCTGAACATCCCCCACCATACGCTGTGTTTCGCCCTATTCCCCGAGCAGGGACGCCGTGTTTGGAGGTGGCTGCGCTTCTGCTTGTCCTTCCCTCTTCTCTTCCCGGGCTCGGATGTGATGCTGGGCTCCCACGCCGTCCTCCCTTCCCTTTCTCTCTTCCCTTCGCTCTCTGCTTGTGCTAATATTCCTTCAGGGAGAAAGCTGTGTTTGCATTCGCCTTCGCTGCCGCACAAAAGAAACCCTCTGTGTCCTCCGAGAGGTTTCTGGCTGAACAAACTCGAGCTGTCCCTGGCAGAGCAGAGCGGCGGCGGGGCCGGGGGGAGCCGCGTCTGGGAGCTGATCCCGGCCTTCGCCCCCCTCCCGCTCCCGCACACCGGGTCAAACGGCATTTTCCGAGCGGAGAAGTTTGTGTCCGGGATGCAGCAGGGATCTGTTTGGTTTCCCTCCCCTCTCGCAGCCATTATTTTAAGAAGGGCCAATTCACTTTTTAGCAGCGCTGGGCTCCGGGAGCCGCGGTGGCTCCTGGGCTGCTGTGTCTGCTGCCTGCCCGCTCAGGAGTGTGCAGCTGGTACCTTGCTTATTCATGCCGGGTTCCGAGGCACAGACAGCGCCTTGCAGAGCGTTTGCTCGGCTCTTTTCTCCCACAGAACGAGCCAAGTGCGTTTTCTATGGAGTTGCTGCTCTCGGTGCATAAGAAAGGGGCTGCCGGCAGCGTCGGGGCTTTTCCCGTTGGGGTGAAACCGTGCAAAGGGTCCCTAACAGGATTTAATGCAAAGGATTCCTTCAGCCACACGGTGCTCGGGGGGAGGAAAGGCCTGGATGTAGGTACTGAAGCCATTTTCCAGCATGTGTTGTGTTTGCCTCCCCTGGAGGGGCAGCCAGAGGTGGTGGCATTGATGTCCATGTGCAAAGGTGTCCCCGAGGCTGTGGGGAGGGGATGCTGTGTGTGCACGCAGAGGGCAGTCATGCCTTGCCCTGGAGTCAGCTGGTGGGCCAAAACTCACTTCGAGGAACGACTAAAGTCACTTGACTCTGCCCCACAGGAGATTCAGTGGCTCCTGTTTGCGGGCAGGGAGCAGGCAGGGCTGTGTTTTCTTGCCAAAGTGGCTTGAAGGGATTTGCCATAATTAAACTCCCCGAGCCAAAGGCAGCAGAGATGAGAGGATCACCTCTGCTGAAAACCCAGCTTGGGATCTGCAGGCTGGACACTTTTTTTAAAAAAACCCTCCTTATCCAAAGGCTCAGCAAAAGGGCATTTTCCATCACTGGATGTGTACACCTGTGCCCTTGGGTTTGTACTTCCTGGGCATCCTGATGTCCTGCTGTTCCTGCAAACCACGCAGCCTGGAACTTGGGCTCCCAGGGGAGTTTGCAGGAGGAGGAAGCTGCTTGTTGCTCCTGTTTGGGGCTGAGCTGCACCTGGGCACACACAGGCTCAGCCTGGAGGAGGATTCCTCCCACAGCCCCTTCCCGAGAGAACAAATTGCCTTCCCTTGAGCATCTCTTGTCTCTCTGCCTCGCAAATGGTCTGCAAGAGCCTGCAAGAGCTTTCTCTTTGTGGCAGTCACGAGGTCAGTGTTTCAGGGCTGCTTTTCCCTGGTGCTGCTCCCTCTTCCCCCTCCCGGGAGCTGCCGGACCAAGTGCTGGGGGAAGGGGGGAGGAAATCACAGCACAATTTGCCTCCTGCAGAGACAAGGTGTGGGTGCCCCTCGGTGGGAAGTAGTTGATGCTGCCATGAAAGCGGCTGCCTTTGCTTCTGCCTGCTGAACAGCTCACCCTCCTCTCCTCTGCTCCAGTGCCAGCCAGACTGGGGGAGGCTGGGAGCCACTGGGGAAGGTGTCCCAGCTGTGGGAGGGGGGGCTGTGGGGAGCAGCACCACTGAAGGTGCCCCTACAGCCACCTCCTCCTCTGGCTGGCCTGTGCTGTACCAGCCTAGGTGGATTTGGCAGGATCTGAAATTTACCTTGGATGGGAAGATTTCTGCCTGTCTGGGGCTCTCTTTCCAAAGGCATGTTTGCTTTCCCTCAGGGTGATGAGTTCTCTGGGTGTTGCAGGGTATGTTTTTCTCCTTCACAGTTCACTTGGTTCCTCCCTGGAAGCAAATGCTCTGCAATCTTCTGTCAGAGGGGCCCGTTATTAGCAGCAGTGGCTCAACTTCCCACTGGCTTGTCCTCAGCCCCCAGGTGGAGAAGGGTGATATTATTCCCATGAGGGAAACCAGCCCAGTTCCACCCACCAACACTGGTTATGACCAGGAGAAGAGGATTTTCACATCCTGGGGGATGTTAATGGGTGACAGGGAGCAAAAATGTGAGATTGTGGGGTGCTGGGGGGTGTGAGCACAAGGGCTGGTGGCTGCAAGGGGCACTTGGTGATCTCTGTGTCTGACAACCACCAGCCTCTTAATGAGAAGCCTGGAAATCTGTGGCTGTGATCCCTCTTCCAAGTGAATTCCTCCTACCATGTAGAGAGAAGAGCAGCTTTGCAAGGGAAGGGTGTTGGGCTGGTTCCTAAACCCAGGAGAGTGTCACTGCTGGGGAGCTGTTCGGGAAGCACAAGGAGTGAAAGCACCAGTGGGCTTTAAAAATTAACCAAGGAAGAGCTCTTGGAGCCCAGGATGTTGCAAATCACGATATTCTATGATTCTGTGAACTGAAAATGGTTGGATGAAGACAGCAATGGTTTGGGGAGGTGCTTTGTGGGCTGGTGCAGGTTTGGCAGGGGCAGTGTGTTCACAGCTGGGCTGCACGGGAGGGAAACTCAAATGAGCCTCACGTTAGAGCTGGTGTTGTGCAGTGTGTGCTATCCCAGAGGAACAGAGCAGGACTGCCTCCTCCAAGGCCTGTTTGAACACAATTTAGGTTCCTCTTGCTTCCCCATCTCCCATCTGTACCTCCTGCAGCGAGAGCCACAGGTGACTTTGCCCAAACCACGTTTCTTGCAAGGTTTCAGTTCTTAGAAAAGAACAAGGGGGAGGAGCTGGGGGTCTGTCCAGGTGCCCTTTGCCAGAGGGAGGAGGGCAGGGCAGCTGCTCCTCCTGCATCCCCAGCAGCCTCCCCCCATCCAAGGGCGGGCAGAGGTGCCCGGGCAGTTTATGCACAGCACATCCCGGGCAGATGTCGATTGCTTTGTGCTTTCCTGTGGTTTTAGGGGACACCAACTGGAGTAGAAACGTGCCCAGAAATCCCTGCCAGGTTCCCAGCACCACGTGCCACCAGCTCCCGGCCTCTCTGTAGCTGGACTGCAAATGTTAGGATAAAACAGCTCCGTGCTCTTCTTTCTTTTGTAGCTGTAAATAAAGGGGGGAGAGGCCAATATGCCCCTTAGGTTGTGAGCTGGCTGAGGATCAAGGGCTTTGAATAAACTGTTTTCCTGTGAGCAGCATGTGATGGAGAGTGTGGCTGCTTCAAACCTCTGATTTAATGATCAGCTTTGCAAGTTTGTGCAGCACTCTCAGCTCCTCAGCATGCTGGGTGGAGGGGCTTTATGGAAATGCTGCTGGAGAATTGGCTTTGCATCACTTCCAGGATCCTTCCAGCAGGATTAAACAGCTCTTATTTATTTATTTATTTATTTATTTATTTATTTTAAAGACCAGCAAGTTTATACCAACAATTGCTGAAGGCCCTAATTTATCTTCTGTTCAGGAGCAATACAAGTCTTTCCTTTGACTGCTTTGAGAGCTACTTCTGGCCAAAGAGAGCAACAGAGCCACAGTGACCGTGTACAAGCTTATTTTATAAATCAATAGGCAGTGAAACAAATTGGTTGTAAATCAGTCTCTTCCTTGCTGAGACTTAAGGCGTTTGCTGGAGCTGAGAGTGCTTCAGGGGTCTCAGCCCTGCCTTCAGGGCTGGCTCCTGTCCCAGCCCTTGCAGGGCTGTGGGAATCAAAGGTACCAGTAAATGTGGGATTTCTTGGCTGGGAAGAAATGAAGTTGAAACCCTGTGCTAGTCTTTGAGTAGAAGGGTCCTG